GCTAAGGACAGACGTTTCCATAAAGCAGAAAGTTGACAGCACAAGAGTATGATGTGACCAAGGGTGACACTGTCGAGGAAGGAGCCCAGTGGGGCAGGCAGTGCTGACCACAAAGATTTCAGAGAAGGGATAATCATCTGCAGAATGCTTATGCCAGAGGAGGGATGTTTGAGTACAGTTCATCTCGGAGATATGAAGAAGTGTCGAAACAAACAAGAAAACTCTATCAGAGGTTTTGGGGGTTAAAAAAAAACCCTAGTTCTTAAATCTTCATAAATTATTAAATGTGTTTTGACTCCTATTCCTGAACACTGGCTGCCTTCTTGGATTGTGCTGACTGGTTGAGTTGGTAGAAATGGGAACATTCACTGGTGCTCTTCAAATGTTACTCCCTCGCAAATTACCCACTGGCCTCTCTTGGGACCTTAACAACACAAATAAGGACTGGTTTAACATTTAATCTGGGTAGGGGCGCCGGGTGGCTCATTCGGTTAAGTTTCTAACTCTCGGTTTTAGCTCAGGTCATGATCTTATGGTTCATGAGTCTGAGCCCCACATCGGGCTCTCTGCTGTCAATGCAGAGTCCTCTTCGGATCCTCAGTCTCCCTCTCTCTCTGTCCCTCTCCCCAGCTTGCACTCTCTCACTCTCTCAAAATAAATAAATAAACTTAAAAAAAAAGACCTGGTCTGGGTAGATTCAGAGGCTAGAACTAAGCCATATATGCGGCAGTCGTTAGAAAACCTCTAACAGTGCAGTGAGCTGTGAGGTAATGAACTGTCTGATGGAGAAAATTATTCCTAAAGCTCCTTCCAGATCAGTAGTTCAGTAAGCTTCTGGGTTTGTGTTCCTGTTAAATGTTCAGAGTATCTGCTTCATACGGCTTCTGTGAGGAGGACAGAAGATAAAGTATATTAAAGTGCCTGGAGCAGAATAGCTGTTCAGTCTTTATTAGTCAGATACCAATCTATGAAATAGACCAAGAAATCCCAAGGAAGTACCAACCTCGGCCACTAGAGGGGGATTTCAGTCACCCTCCTTTAAAAGACACTCTCCGATACCGCTTGATGGGGCAGACACCCCTCCCGATGCACCAGCCTTTCCTCTGCCGGGAAAGCCAGTCCCACTCAGGAAACCTGGCTCCACGCTGAACTCCATGGTGTTTTCTCTGAGTCATTATATTCTCCCACAGTTGCAAAATGATCTGGCAAAAGTCCCTCAAAGGCTTTTACTGCTTACTGAGTAACATCCAAACTCCCTGCCTGAATCCAAAGCCTTCCTCAGTCTGGCCCCAACCTACCTCTCCAGCCTGAACTCCCTTCAGTCCTTTATACTGCGGCCACACTGGACAAATCAGCTCCTGCCTATATGTCGGGGCACATGCAGCTCCTTCTTGACGCCTTCCCTCTATCCTGACCTTCTGAAACCGTACTTCTTTTTCAGGAATGTAAATGTACCTCCCCCTTAACTCCCTTCTTACTTCTCTAGAAAAGAGTGATCTCTCCCACCGTTGAGCTCCCACACCATATATTATATCCATCTATCTTGTATTTCACTGATTTATGTATGTGCATCTTTTCTCTTCAATAGATTAGGAACTCTTTGGGTAGAGAAGCCAGGGAGTAATCTGCCCAGGATCACACAGCGAGTAAAGACGGGATTCTAACCCAGGAAATCCAGAGAGCTCTTGCTCTTAACCACGAATTCACAGCTATATAGTAACCTTTCATCAACCACAGTGCCTAGCTCAGAGCTTTGCACACAGTGCTATGCAATAGCTTATCAAATGTATAACTAAAAAACAAAAAACAAAAACCTCCCCCAAACATTGATCTAATTAGTATCTCTTAAACCTTCACCGACTCCTGGGCTATTGGGAACCAGCAACTGAGTCTCATTAATCTGCACTACAGTGCCTGGCTGTAGATCTAATTATGAGCCATTTCAGAAGCATAATTACTGTTCCATTTGGTCTCTTGATCTGTAATGCATATAAGGATCTACTCCCAGCTTCTAAGGGATTAAAAAAAACCCAACGTGATTACTTTCTGAGGCCTGAGAGATGTGTTTTGTGAAGTTTCAGCTCACATCTTTTCTGTGAAGTGAGGGGGGTGGCCATGGTGGTCCTTTCTTTGGTTTTAAGTCTATGATTCTGGGAGATAGGAAGGAATAAAAAAGAGCCTCTGCTTCTGCCGTCAGAAGATACCATTTTGAGTCTCAACTCCCCAACTCAGATTCCCCATCTGTAAAATTTGATTCATCCGGTCCAAAAGCTTTGAATATCTGAGTGCCCCGCAAGGGAGGGGCAGTAAAGAGCAAGGCAGAAGTGGTCCCTGCTCATCCTGCTAAGAAACTCGGTGGACACCTATAGTGTGGGGTTGTCCTGTGGAAGAAACTCAAGTGGTCAAAGTATGGTGTAAACTACAAAGTCTGGTACCAAATCAAAAGCTGATGATCTTGACAGGATCCCGGTTTTGTCAAGTCCAACGACAACAAAGCTTATCTCTTTTGCTGTTTTGGGGAAAAGCCTGATAGTGTGTTTTAACCAAACCTAATCAACACCGCACGCAGCTTTTGTGACTTTCTGCGGCAGTTCCACGTAAAGGTGGGCTGAGGTTATCTGTCCTCACTTCCGGCACTGGCCGGTTGCTGGGAGAGGCCAAGTTCCTAGCCCACTCCCGCAGGCCTCGGTCAGTACGCCGCCGTCAGGCTGGGAGCCTGGGCCCCTGGGTTCTCCAGCGGTCAGTCGTCTGACTGACCCCCAGTGACCAGACCCGGCTCAGGCGTCATTCAATGACCTCGTCTGTGAAAGGCAGGCCACATCCGTGAAGAAGCCTGGCTCGGGGAGGCCACCCTCCAGAGCTCTGGGGAGGGTTCCCTTAAGGTTCTATCTCGAGCCCCAGGCTGCAGCAGAGCTGGCAGGGCCAGGCGACTCTGTCCCGGTCCCCGGGCCCGCGTACACTCGCAGGGTGGCTCTGGGGAAGGTCACCGGGCGGACCTGCCGGCTGCTCCGCGTTCGACGGGAGGCCTCGGACCGTGTCCAGACGGCCCCCGGGAGCCCCTAGACTGCCTGGAGCAGCCGGAGCGGCGGGGATCGCTGGACCAACGCGGAGCAGGGGGTAAGCCGGGCGCGCTCGGGCGCAGGTCACGTGGCGGGCGCGGGGGCGCGCGGGGGCGGGGCCTGGGGCGCGCGGCTCCGCGGGTGGCAGGGCGGG